CGGTAAGCAGTAGGCATAAAAATCGCGCGCAAGCAATTTTTGAGATGGATGAATATGACGTCAACAAACAGGAAATCATAACAACCTGTTTTCATTGGTTTTGAAACTATGTAGCAAAAACCGCGACATTATAATAAAATTACCAAACAATTTAGGCAGAGAGAAAAAAAAACTGCTGAAGAGTGAAGGGGTAAAAATAATGAACAGCGGACGACAACCGGAGCTGGAAGGAGAATATTTCGACGTTAAGAATAACTTGTGGATTACAACAATGATCGGTATCTGGGTAGAAATGTTTATCATACCAATTCTTCATTTCTACCCTTTGCTTTTCTATTCACTACTGGTTCCTAGTGTTTAGAAAGATACGCAATACTACCTTTTTAACAAAGGTATGCAATTTTATAGTTCAAAGTTTTACCCCTGCTAAATTATCTAAAGGATATTATCACAATTAGACTGATAACAATTTTAATCGGGCCTGGCATGGTCAGGTGGTTAGGGAACTTGACTCGCAATCTGAGGGTCGCGGGTTCGAATCCCCGTATCACCAAAAAGGCTCGCACTTTCAGCTGTGGGGGCGTTATAATGTTACGGTCAATCCCACTATTCGTTAGTAAAAGAGTAGCCCAAGAGTTGGCGTTGGGTGGTGATGACTAGTCTACTAGTCATGGTCTAGTGATGACTACACTGCTAAATTAGGGACGGCTAGCGCAGGTAACCCTCGTGTAGCTTTGCGCGAAATTCAAAACAAACCAAAATTTTAATCACGTCAATCTTAACTGGTTGAATACAAATTTCTATTAAGATGAGTGTATGTTCAGTGATGTATTTGGTAGTGATATTACGCGGTCTGCTGCAGCCTGCCTTATAGCCAATTTCAGATGAAGTAGCAAAGCAATGGCTATGTTGACTTGTTCCAAGCAGTGTCATAATTTACCTACTCAGTTAAATATATAAATTTGTTGATTCACGGTTTTCAGACGCTCAAAATGCTGGATACAAGTACAAAATAATTACACATTATTAAAAAAGATAAAAACCTGAACATTAGGCATCTCAAAAAAGATTATCTGAACACCGAGACAGCAATCCAAAAACCGGAACAGGGACGTCTGATTACTTTAGTGTCTATCAAGCATTTCAACTACGTCTTGTTTGTTGTAAGCTGTTGCCGAAGAGGCCTTTTACTTAATTCCAAAGTCATCCGGTCTGTGTGTTGTCAAATCTCATTCTTTTGACCGTTACGTGCATACGCATGGTTCAAGACAATTTAACTTTCCTTGTTCTAAAAGGCCTACAAGTTATAACCTTTCTAACTAAGCATGTAACCTTTCCTTCACGAACTTTGGCCAAGTCAGTACTTAGCTCATTTTTGTCGTTATTAAAATGGGAAGAGAGTTTGGCCGAAAAAGGATTTGGACTGGAAATAATCTCGACTCAAACGTGTTGTTTATATGAATGAGACATGAAGCCTGATAGTACGTAACGTTGCATAATACGCTAGCTTAAGCGTTGCATACTAACCGAAGTACAAGTTGATTACGCCTTAAAAGTTACAAAAGTAAAGCTTCAGAACCATCATATAAGATTTTTAGATGTTAATGAGATCAGGCAGTAAATTTGTTTGTAGCAGTGTTGTAACAGTCAAAAGCGATTTTAAGATCACATTTTTAATCTGTTTGTAGTAGTATTAAGATCGTTAAATGTAATTTTAAGATCGTGTCTGAGGTCACAGTAAGTCTGTATATGGGAGTATTTCGACTACTGAAGGTGGTTTTCACAATTTCAATCCACCAAATTCTAAATGATAACTATAATGTCATATTAATATTACAGATTAAAATATTTATACTTTTTCAAGTTACTATATAATACAATGAGATAATTATTTTCACTTCCTTATTTTTTTAATTTATAAATTTACCCCCATTTATTCATTGCATTTATTATTTAAAATAGAGCTTAAATGTATAGATACATAAATAAAATATTAAGCATAACAATCATATAATATGCAAGAATTCTAGGATTCGATTTGAGTTTTACTAAACCGATCCTAAGTATATAACTTAAATTATACGAAAAATATTTCTATAATAATAACTACTTTAGAGCCTCCGTATTTTTGACAAAAAACGACAGGAATTTTCTTCTTTCACATGAATATTGTTACGACAGCGGAAGTCACGTGACACTGGTAACACGTAATGAGTATCTCGAACGTTCCTGAAGGCTCGAGTGTTTGCTAGACACGCGCTCTTATAGTATATAAGCCGGAAAATAAAGTGACGGGGTAGATAATTGAATAGCAGACAGGGAGATAGAGACAGATAATCGAGTCAAGCCGTAAGTAAAGTGTGTAAATCGTTGTGAATTATAGCGTGTGTTTAAGTTAAAGTGACTGTGGAAATTAAGTGTATTGCAAAGTTGTATTGAGAAAGAATAACCTAGTTTTATTTAAGAAAGGACTTGTATCGCTAAAGTTTCACCCGAAAGAAATTATACGGAAATTAACAAACGACCAGAGACGTAACAATATTTTAACATTATTACAAATAACATGTAAAGAAAATAACTTAGGTTTAAATACATCAAAATTAATTGAGCTCTACGATACAGCTATAGAAAACAAGAAGTCACCACTTTTTCAATATTGATCATTACAAGCATAGGTTGTTTGGTGAGCCAAACAAAGTGTTCTAACAACTAACTGAGAGATTGAAACAAAGCTGTAAATGTTTTCCTTGAATATTATAATTGTTTCCAGGCGAAGAACAAACCAACAAGTGTATTTTTTATTATTTTAAAGTGGTTCAGATTAGAGATAAGTATTTAGCTATCTGAATATGACTTTTCCTAGTATGTAATTTTTTCACAATTTTTAAAAGTTTATGGCCAAGGGAAAGGCTCGAGCCCTCCCCGTTGTTGCAGGCATACTGTAGTTCAAACAATCAAAGGTCCAATCACTTTACAATTTAATATTTGGACTGGTCTTTAGGAACGCATAGATAAACTTGAAGAATGTAGACAAGAAAATTACGATGAAGTTGGGCAGAATTAAGCCTACTTTACCATACTTTTACATGCTGCTTATAATTCTATGTCTGATTAACTTTTAACAAAATTCCAAGGGGTGTCCAGTTAAATAAATACCGATGTGTAGTACCACCGAGTTTTTGTTGTTTTTTTTAGTTTTTTTAGAGGAATGTGAAATTTGGTAGACAATGTGCTAATATAAAATCGTATACACAAGATATTATTGTTCTCACCAGGAAAAACTTAAATGAGACATCTTCTATCCTCAATTTGAAATGTAACAAGTCTATATTACATCATATAAATTTGGAACAGAAACGAAAAAACTGGTACACATCGGCGCTGTAAAAGTATTTTTAATTCGACTCTAGAGGTTAGGCCAAGTGTATAATCCTATGCATTCTATCTTCATCCAAAATATTGTTAGATCTATGTGAACAACATGTTGACACTTTTAAACTTGAAAAACGAAAGAGAAAGAAACAGCTAATGTTGTTCTATTAGGGAAACAACACAGGTCGAATGTTTTTAGAAAGTCTTTTTTAGGCATTTATGGAAAAAAAATTAAAGAAAAGCGATTTCGTTACAGGGCTACAAACCAAAAATATTTTAGACGCTCAAAGTTAACTACACTTATTTTTGAATTCTGTAAAATTTCAAGTTTGAAAATTAAAATTATTCATACAATTTAACGACTTCTGTTTTGTTTTAAATCCAACAAAGAAAGATTAACGTTGAATTAATTATAATTAATTAATTATAATGTTGAAATTCACATTATATGTACCATACAGAAAAAAAAAATTGGTTCTCAAAAATGTCAGGGTTTCTCTTTCATAATAGACAAGGAAAAAGTACAATTACTCAATCAAGATTTTTAGGCATAGCATTTAGTAGCAAGCGAGTTACAGTATTACAGTGTTAATACTTTAATAACGGTAGACTACATTTTACTTGTTAATAGTCTTCAAAGTCAGTAGTACAAACAATGAGCTAAGAAGCCCTCTTTAACAATTAGTTATAACCTAAAATTGTTAAATCTATACTTCCACCACATGAACTTCGTATGTTACATATTTATTATCACGCTTTCAAATTGATTTAACAGCTATTCATCCCATTTTTAACACAAGCCAAATCTTTCCAGAAATACACACTGTATAATGTTTCAAAACATGCGTATAAAGTTTAATAGTCCTGTTATTATCTACGTAAACTTAAGTTCGTGTAACAATTGTATAGTGTAGACTTAAGAGTTAGGTTTTTCGCGGCGTCCACTACCCATTATAAATAAAACTATTAAGCAACAACAAAAACGGTCGTTTCTCACTATTAGTATTAAAAGACCAACGCCTAAATAATTCAATAATAAATCTTGTAAAAGTAGTAGCTTTTGTTTGATTGAAGTGTACCTCGGGTACATCAGATAACATACCTGCAAGAGGAACTACCGTATTACCTTTACGCGCCGTCTATGACGAATGTCTTTGACCTTGAATACCGGTACCATAAGGTCGAGAAGGCAGAACTATAAAATTATACTTCAGGTATTTGCCTGTATGTGATATAAATCACGCATGCAAGTTTCGGTAGGACTCACTAGAACTTTGGCTGAGCTTTCAGTATAATTGATACAAATGTAACATTAGATAAACATGTTTTCGAAGCAATGAAAAGCGGTGAGGGTGTAAATATCCACAATTGTTATAGAAATTTAGTTATAAACTTCAAAGATAGATCCCCAATTTTAATAATCTCCAAGCGAACATTCAATTTCATACCAACACTCCTTCTAATAAAATAATCTTGTGTTTAAGGCTTATCACGCACTCGTGGCGTTTTCTCAAACTCCAAGCACGTAATTCATATGTTTCTTTTAAATCCAACCTATTTTTTATATTTACATTCAAAAGAGAGAGGAGTGTCTGTATAACCAAATACAAACAAAAATGTTAACTTACCCTAAAGTTGTCTTCACACTGCACTTCTGCTAATTCAGGACTGTTATAGATGTTCAGCTGTTGAAGAGCTCCCTTAAAGACAAGAATGAATAGAACGTAATAGGTTATACGAGTTCCTAATCTTTGTACTGTTCCGCTTAACGTTGTTAAGCCTGTCCATAACCAGGGGAATAAATACAGCACTGTCCTCGCTGGCGATATCATATCCATTCGGAGCAGTACAGAGTTGCGTAATCTTTTTATATATATTTTTTTTTATAAATACTCGTTTACAAACTGTTTATTATTACATTCGATATTTGGAGCACATAACAAAACACCATCTAGTAAATATTTGGAAATCAAATGTACGAAATTCATATTTTTCTATTATTAAATCGTAACACCACACAATTCCCAGCGTTACACCGTTCCGAATGAATATTTAGAAATTTAAAGAAAATAGTCTTCTGCATGTAAAAAGTCACACGACTTAATGCAAATAACCCGCTAGACTCGTTACCAAGAGCGTCATATTAAACGATTTGTTGTACGTCGCATGTTTACTACGCCACCTAGGACACGCGGAAATATGTCTTCGGTAATTTGTCAATTGGTTAGTTGGATGCGACAATTTAGTCGTCTGTAGCGAGTTTCATCATCAACTAGCTGCGACAAACTTTGTCCTTAAAAGCTGTACAGAGAGAAAAAAAACAATTCTAAAGACAGAAGACGACGTGTGATATTCACTTTAATATAAATTTACATCAACAGTCAACGGCGACATGGATTAGAACCGAATTAAAATTTTATTAAAACAGTCCTTTACAGCAAACTAATTAGATGTTATTAAATGTCATAAACTAACATAACATAAACCAATAATGCATTGAATATCAGTTAGGCACTCTCGCTGTAAACAACACTTTCGGCCGTAATCCCAAATTAAAATATGAAATCTGAATCCCACAAAAATGGATTTCCTGTATTAAAATAAGACAATTCGTAAAATTCTGGCATGATATTCAACACAGAAAGTAATGAATTACAAGTCCGAATCGATAAAAAAAATTACTTTTTTTACACATTAATGTATTAAATACACGTATGTATCATAACTGTCAAAGCATAAAGAGATTTTTGCTGTCACCTCAGAGCTACAGTAGTTTGTAAATTCTAAACGTAAGTGGCGGTTCCAACGAAGAACAAAAAAATCACCTACTACCGTTGTGACTGGGCCTTTCGGATAGCTTGGAGAATTCCCAATAATATCGGCACTAAGAATATTCAATATGATATTCTAATTAACTTAGTCTGCGTGACTAGAATATATGGCTTGCTCTTTTAGGCTCGGAGAGTCCCTCAAGCCCACCATAATTTGAAGATTTCTTTACATCCAAACTATTTATCGTAATCAATCGCACACATAGCACCCGCAAACTAGAAATAGCACAAGGACTCGAACTGCCTCGCCAGCCAAAGCTTACACGTTACTGAATCAGTGATAGTAAGGCTCCTGTCTTAAGTACTTCTCTCCACGGCTCCCAGTCAAGTGTGTACGCGTTTCGTCTCTCAGTAGGGCCTTCGCGAAAACTCTAGCCCACACCTCTACCCATGTAAATACAGCAAGAAGCAGTAACTAGTGGGCTAGATGTCGGCTTCTCTGGTTATGTAATTTTATTACGCGTAGTATCTTTTCATGGGAAAAATACTGCTCTACAGAAACCTGATTTTCTAGTATAACAGTTGGAAATAATTTGATTCAAACAATAAACTTCTTCATATTTAACTTCTTCGAGTTATTAACTCTGTCTGGAGCTCTTATGTTTGCTGAGATTAGAGCATGGCCTAATGGTTAATGTATCAGACTGGGGATTGGAGGGTTCTGGGTTCGAAAAGTGATACTACGAAACATGTTATAAGAGTTACAGTTAATTCCGCTATTTGGTTCAAAGTATCCGTTTTAGGTTGCAGGTCCTGCCAATTGGTTGCTTTCTCTCTGTTCCACAATTCAAAATTAGGGATGACTACTACGCTTGAACCATCGGGATCTTTGAACTGGCCGTTTAACTTGT